ACACACACGCAGAGAGACACACACACGCAGAGAGACACACACACGCAGAGAGACACACACACGCAGAGAGACACACACACGCAGAGAGACACACACACGCAGAGAGACACACACACGCAGAGAGACACACACACGCAGAGAGACACACACACACAGAGAGAGAGACACACACACAGAGAGAGAGACACACACACAGAGAGAGAGAGAGACACAGAGAGAGCACACACATGTTAGGAAGGGACAGGCAGGTAAGGAAGAGAGAAAATCCCAGGCAGGCTCCTCCATGCTGTTAGGAGGAGATCATGAGATCATGACCTGAGCCGAAATCCAGGCAGACACTTAACTGAATGAGCACCCCAGCACCCCTTGGAGTTAACTTCTTAACTACTTTTCCAAATTTGTTCTAATGGTCTACTGGTGAAATGATTCTCATTAAGGAGATCTAACTGACATCCAAGGAGAGACATTTGTAGAAAGCAAATATTGTAAGAAAAAAGGAAAGTACAAAGATTTACAAGCTGTATGAGAAACAGAAATATGTTTACTATATGACTACTTCTCTCCAATTAATCCTGCATAATACCAGTATGTTAATTTTTATTTTCATCCCATAAATCACCTAAACCTAAAAGGACCAGATTTGGACTGAAGCTCATTTAATCTTAATTTTCTAGAACTGAGAGAACAGATATAAAATTCCTTAGTAAAGTGCTTGGTAAATTCTGGTCAGATATAAATGGAAAGTGAAAAGTGTGGTCAAATACTTCTTTCTAAATGGAGTGAGCTCAGTTGAACTTTCTGCCTTTCTCTCTGACCAAAGGAGGTGGAGCCACTTCTTATAAATTGGAGAAAACTGCATTTAATGTATGGTGGGCTCAGCTTACTCTTCAAATCTGCCCAATTCCGGATCTCCTTTGCACCCTAGCAGGCTCTACGCTAAGCTTCATCATTCAATTTATCCTTGATGAGTAATATAGAGGATATTTTGGCTTCTATTTAACAGCCTTTATTAATCTCTCAATTTGGTCAGAATTGGTGTGGGGATTTTTATTGGACTAAAGGTTTGTTCATGGAGAGCTCAGGCTGATCGAGCCAGAACAGTTTGCAACCACAGAATCCGAATTCCAGGATCCAGGGAAAGTGAACAGAACAGTGAAGGAGAACTGGAAGGAGGAGATGACCAGGAAGTTAATTCCACTGTGTATTTATAAACATAGAGACTAAAGCTGTAAGAGGGCTAAGTAAACATAACTGAAATGTATGAGAATTCTAACAATTTGAAGTTACTAAGGAGATCAATTTTTCTTTAAAACAAATGGAGAAAAATAACAAAATGGAGTAAGAACTTCTTTATATGATCAGTTTAGTATGCCAAATTTTAACCTGTGGTACACTGACTGGTTTTAACCGGAAATCAAATTCTGGATGAAAGTATATAAAAAGAAACACGTTTTACTAGAACTATTAACATACCTCAGGACAGCTATGTGACTCCCTGCTTCTGTGTTCAAGGCTTAATTAAAAAAAGAAAAGGGTTTATTTAAATGCAGTCAAATAATTAAAGATAACTGTACTAAATTGGAGATATTTTAATGGTTAGTATCCTTAAGATTAGTTACACTACAGTAGAACTCTGCATATAAGAATAAACTGAAATGATAAATTGAGAGAGAGCATCTATAGTCTTAAAAGTTTCAAAACCCAACTGTTCAACTTCAATATAAACAAATACAATTCACCACTCTAAAATACCTTTGAGTGCTTCAAATGTGCACAAATAAAAGGAATTAAAAGATTCTTTGTATTTCTTAAAGACCATAAGAAATAAATGTAAAAGGAAGTGCTCTAGTTCTAAAGAACTTAAAAATATGCATAACCTTTATTTAATCCAAATAAATCTGAGTGATCTCCTGAAAATAATTCTTTCAGTGTTCAATTTAATCACTAAATGCCTACAACATGAAAGTGTAATTACAAATAAATCACATTTTCCAAAATCTTTGGTTAGTTCCCACGTTTTACTTTGCATGGAAAGGACATGTGATATCCAGTTTAAGAAACGAATAGGCTGGGCTCTTCATTTGATTAAAATGAAGAGTAATAATAATACCTGGATTTTTTTCTACCATATTCTTTATATTGTGGCTATATTCTCTCCTTGCAATTAAGACACAAATATAACTTTTACATAAAAATCACACATAAATCCATTTCTGAAAGTTTAAAGTTTAGGCACATATATCCACAAGTAATCAGAGCCTATGCCTGATCTTTTTTTTAAGTAATTACTATTATGAATGTATAATATCAATGGCTAAACTATTTGAAATCATTCTGCTTTTGAGAAATAAATGTCCTGTTACAAACACTAAAATTACTCCCAAATGCTGCATAAAAAACTTACCAAAATACTCCAGAACAAGCATCACAAACAAATGGGAGAAAATCTAAAATTGAGGGAAAATGTTATATGCACTGGTCAGTATCGAATTTTGATTTGGTTTTCTTAAAAAGATTTTTTAAAGTACTGAACTACATCTATTGGAGAACTTTCCTTTTTGACCAATATCCTAATGTAACAAGTAGTGGTTAAACAAAAGCTATCACGACCTCAAGCACAGAGTTAACTGGATTATCAGAAGATAAAGTTACTTATAGCGTGTGTAGTCAGAAAAAAGTTCTGGGTTGTTTTGGTTGACCAGATTTACTAGCTGTTGTTTCTGAGTACTGTATATTGCAGAAATCCTGCATTTGAAGTGAAAATCCTAGGTTTCAATTCCGATTCACAGTTTATTAATCTCGCAGTGCTACAAACTGTTTAACAACCGAGTTTGTGGGGGGCGGGCAGAGGATGGCAGAGCGGGGGGATTCTGAGCTCACCTCCTCCCATCGACAAACCAAGATATAATAGCTACGTCTGAAGACGGTAGAGCACACCTTCCACACTTACTCCTACAGAGGGAGGCCAGACTAGAAGGGTGGAGGGGTGGAGACACAGTCAGGAACCATATATGGGAAGGACACCCCAAGCACAGAAGAGCCCACGCCATGCACCCCAGCCACTGGGGATGGGAGGCCCCATAACACCAGCTTTGAAAACCAGGGAGGCTAAACTTGGCAAGCTTTTCAAAGCAGCGGGGCTTAACTCTAGGTACTTCAGAAATCTCCAAGAGCTGGAGGCAATAGTAAATGGAGTCCTGACCCTTGAAGAGCCAGCATGGTAAAGAACTGCTGGAGACCAGCACAGAGGCAGTATGAAAACCTCCTGGGGTTTTCATGAAGACAAGTCACTTACTAATCTCAGAATGTGCACTAGAGAGACACGGATCTTCAGGAGACCCTCCAAGAACCAAAGTGCTAGAAGGCACCATTTCTCTTCTCCTCCCGCAGGCCAGAGAGCTGGACACTTGGAGAAACGAGCACTAACTACCAACCACCTTGCCAGCACCATGTGTCTGCCCATGTATTCACCTGCATTTCCACCGCATCCAACCTGCTCCCCTCAGCAGACTCCCTCCAAAGCGGCTCCTCTCCTGTCACACTACTCCCCCAGCAGGGACCAGTGCCACTCCAAAGCGACTCCTGCCCTGGGGAGAGATGGAGATAATCCCACACGCCAGCCTGCCCAAAGTTCTGGCAACTTCTAGCAGGCCACATGGGGGGAAAGCCCTGCCATTCACTGGGACCAGAGGCTGACTGCAGACACCTAGTCTGATTGCTGGTCCACTCACCTACAGGCCCACCAAGGTCTCTCAACAGTACAGGAGCCAGACTCTGCCCAGTAGCAGGCAAAGCAGGTCACTGCAGCCAAAAGGAATGATGGCAAATGAGGCTCAGGCAGCACAACAGCGAGCACACAGCCCCTGGAGAAGACATCTCTGGAGCAGCCAGTTCTAGCGAGCAGGGGGCATTGTGCTACAAGGCACCACAGAACCTCCTCTACAGAAGTACACTAACTTACACCACCAAGATACACAGCAGATCTCCCAAATACAAACACAGACAGTTACATAATATGAGGAGACAGAAATAGGTGCCAAATGAAGGAACAGGTCAAAGTCACAGAAAAGAGCTAAAAGAAACGGAGATAAGCAACATGCCCGATAAAGCACATATTAATGGCCTTAAGAATGGATGAAATTGAGGAGAACTTCAACACAGATAGAAAATGTAAAACAGAGCCAGTCGGAGATGAAGAATTCAATAACTGAAATAAACACACTAGAGAACAAGAGATTAGGAAAGGCAGAGGAACAGATCAGCAATCTGGAAGACAGGATAATAAAAAGCAACCAAGCTGGAGAGCAAAAAGAAAAAATAATAAAAAGTGAGAATAGGATAAGGAAACTCAGCAACATTATCAAGCATACTAGTATTCACATTATAGGGAGCCCAAAAGAAGAGAGAGAGGGGGCAGATAAATAACTTGAAATAACAGCTGAAACCTTCCCAAATCTGAGGAAGCAAACAGCCATCCTTATCTAAGAAGTGAGAGGACCTATAAGATGAACCCAGGGAGATCCATGCCAATTATAATTAACATGGCAAAAAGTAATGGTTATAATTTTAAAAGCAGCAAGAAAAAAGAAAACAGGCATATGTGTGTGTGTGTGTGTGTGTATATGTATATATATGTGTGTATATATGTGTGTGTGTGTGTATATATGTGTGTGTGTGTGTGTGTGTATGTATGTATATATATATATATATGGAAAACTCCATAAGGCTACCAGCTGACTGTTAAGCAAAAACTTTTTAGGCTAGAAGGGAGTGGCATGATATACTCAAAGTACTAAAAGGGAAAAAAAAACCTGCAACCAAAAATACTCTACCCAGCAACGTTATCACTCAGAATAGGAGGAGAGATAAAGATTCCCAGAAAAACAAAAGTTAAAGGAGTTCATCCCCACTAAACCAGCCCTACACAAGATGAAGGGAACTCTGAGTGGAAAGAAAAGGCCTTAAGTGGAAATAAGAAACTTATGAAAGGCAGTTATTCCACTGGTAAAAGGAAACATATAATAAAGGTAGTAGATATATCACTTATAAAACCAGCATGCGGGTTAAAAGGCAGTAAAATGAAGGAGATCTACAAAAATGAGTCCTAATGTTATGTAAAACATGATATATACATAAAACAAAGGGGGAGGTGTAAAATTTAGTTTTTTAAGAATATGTTCAAGTTTAAGCAACCATCACCTTAATATAAATTGCTGTATGCAAAAGACGTTATATATGAGCCTCACAGTAACCACAAATCAAAAACCTAGAAGAGATACACAAATAAAGAGAAAGGAATCCAAGCATAACACGAAAGCCATCAAAAAGCCACATAAAGCCATCAAACCACAAGAAAAGAGAGTAAGAAAAGAACATGAGCACTACAAAACAACCATAAAACAACAAAATGGCAATACCTATCAATAATTACTTTAAATATAAATGGACTAAATGCTCCAATCAAAGGACACGGGGCAACTGAATGGATTAAAAAACAAGACCCATCTATGTGCTACCTACAAGGGACTCACTTCAGACCTAAAGACACACAAACAGACTGAAAGTGAAGGACTGGAAAAACATACCATGCAAATGGAAGCCAAAAAAAAGGCCAAAGTAGAAGTATTTACATCACATAAAAAAAGACTTCAAAACAAAAACACTGTAACAAGAGACAGAGAAGGGTACTACATAATGACAAAAACAATCCAATAAGATATAACAATTGTAAATAGCAGTGTACCCAAAGAAACACTCAAATACATAAAACAATTACTGACAGACACAAAGGGAGAAATTGACAGCAATATAATAATAGTGGGGCACGTTAACAACCCACTTGCATCAATGGATAGATCATCCAAACAGATCATCATTATGGAAACAGGGATTCTGAATGAAACATTAGACCAGATGGACTTAACAGACATATACAGAATATTCCATCCAAAAACAACAGATACATTCTCTATGATAGATCACATATTAAGCCACAAAATCCTGAGGGGACTATGGGGAAATGTGTTCAAAGGTATTTCAGAAATTCGATACACTGATACTGCCATACTTAGTCCTGAATTGTTTCCTTCCCTTCCCTGAATAAAGCTCTTCCTCTACCTCATAAGTAGGCAAAATGAAGGTATGATACTGTGAGCACGTTTCATGCCAAGAAAGTATGTACTCATTTGTCAACAAGTAACTGAAGCATAAAATACTGTAACTTTTAGGTCTCTTTGAAATTGGAAAAATTGTACATGCTTGCTATTTTGAGACTTTGGGTGATGAACTAAAAACTAAATGCAAACCAAGAGGACCCAGAGGGAAGAGTTAAGATTAAGAGAATTTCCTGACACCATCCTTCTATCCAACTAGAAGCTAAACAAAATTTAGGACACTCACTTAATACCCACTATATCTTAACCCCTCTCTACTAATCTAAAAGAGCTAAACCCTGGTCTCATTTCATATATATTTATACTTTGATATCTGAAGTTGGTAGATACCATGGACTTGATAATCACGTATACCAGAGATAAACATAACTTACCCAATTGGCTAAGCTTCTCTATCTAAAGATGTGCAAGGAAATCTAGGTTTCCTGAATAGCTGGCCGTGAAAGCCAGTAGTAAAAGACACATACAGAGTGCTGTAAGTAACAAGAACCTAGCAAGGATTGTGCCCTTTTACCCACTGCAGATATCACTAACCCGTTGTAGCATTCCCACGATATCTGGGCTAAACTTCAGGAATACGCCTTTTACCAGGTACCTACTACCAATAACGGAAGCTGCAATGAGAGATAAAACCTATTTGCCACCCTCGGTAGTAGTAGCCAACAGTGAGAGCACACATTTAGGGTGAAACTCAGGCACCAAAGACTGAGCATTCTATCTGGCTCTAATACTTCAGGAACTTGCCCGCTCCAGATGCAAGACAATTCTAGAGCGTGTGCCACACTGCCACTGACTATTAGAGACCATCACCTTATTAATGCTCCAAAATGCAGATTATCCTGAAAACTTTTCTATGGAAAAGACCGTATTTGATACCCTCCTATGTAGTTCCAGCACCAGAACTGAGGTCAGTAAATGCTGAGTCGGTAATATTCAAAGAATGACAGAACTGAGGGAGCATGGGGATTGTCCCAGCAGAAGTCTGAGGAGGAGAATCTGATCAAAGCCTAGGGCGTTCTCACTAAAAGCTGCGAAGACCAGGTGAAAGACTGACCTTGCTCAACTCCTTCATCTGACAGATAAGTAACAGATAAAAAGTTTGGGGGAGAGAGGGGTCTTGCCCAAGGTCGCAGAGGCAGGATCACAGGGGAACACAGGTCTCCACGCTCCCAGACCTAAGTGTCAGAAAGGAGTGGGAGTGACACAACTTCTTGGCAAAGCACGCTCGAAAACCAAAGTGAACACTGCAAGACAGGTTTCCAGAAATTGCACAGTTCCCTTCCAAAGAGGCCGCAAGACTCTGCCAAAGGCCCAGGGACAACAAAAAATACCAACACATCTCACTGCCGACCCAGGAGGGACGTACTCGCCCTGTCTCGTCAGACACCACGCCGCGCCACCACCTCCCCTCTCCCGCCACCACTCCCCGGGGAGGCTCACTACGCGGGGTACACGACTACCACGCCTAGAGCTAAGCACAGCTAGATCACCTCGCTGCCGGCAGTGCTCCACCTGGCAGTGCTGCCCTATATCCAATTCCGCCATAGCTCGGCGCCGCAAGAGGCGGGGTTACGACGGACGCGCGCAGCGCCTCCTGGGAGGGTGGCCGACCTCGGGGCGGAGCCTGCAGGGGGCGGAGCCTGCAGCGGGCGGGGTTGGTACACTCACCGGAAACACTCAAGCTGTTGTGAGTGCCTGGAGTTGCGAGTGTATTTGCACTCCAGGCGCCTAGTGAGGCGGCGCAAAGAAAGGGGAATTTCTGTCTGTTTCCTGGGCAGAAGTCTTGGAGCCCAGTCCTTACGGATATTCCCATCCCAATTGTTTTTCTAATAGACTGCGTGCAAAATTCCCTCTATGCAGCAACCCTAATTGGGCACGACCTCACAAGGATGTCTTTTTAAAATCAATGGAACTCAGGAAACCAGCGCAGTGAGAGGCACAAGTGTTTGCAATAATCAAAAGGAAAGGAGGACACTGGTTATTTAGTTCTGTATTCATTAACACCAGTGGATACAAACTAAATGCCTCTTGCAAGGGAGTCATTATGCTTTTTTAAATTTTTTATAGTTTTTATTTTTGAGAGACAGAGACAGATGAACAGACAGCATGAATGGGGGAGGAGCAGAGAGAGAGGGAGACACAGAATCCGAAACAGGCTCCAGGCTCTGAGCTGTCAGCACAGATCATGAACCGGGAGATCTGACCTGAGCCGAAGTTGGACGCTTAACCAACTGAGCCACCCAGGCGCCCCTCATTAGGCTTTTTAAAGTTTTTTTTTTTTTTTCCAACTTTTTCTTTTCTTCCTCCCCATAAGTCTGTAGTCCTTAAGGTCCCAAGTGTTTACTAAACTGCATGGAGTCCCTCAGTTTAGAGAGTCTTGTCTCACAACTCCCTCAAGAAAGCTTGTGATTCCACTGGGATGAAGGGGAGTTTCAGACTTGATGAGCCACTTCAAAGGTACCAAGAAGTAGAGGTTCTTCTAGGTGGAGTACAAATGGATGCCATTCCACTGATGTGACACCAGACACAACTCAGAGGATGAATGACAATAAAAAATGTACTCATGACAGGAACTAGAAAAGTATTCAATGCCTTGTATATAACTGGGTATATCCAAATCAATATTCATTAAGGAAGGGGAAAGGGTGAGACTGGGAAACAGTTATTACTTCAAGATTTGCTCTTGAATAAATCTGTTTAAGACCTTCATCTCAGACTTGTTTGTGTCTCTGGAGACTTCAGATTTTATAGCTGGAAGCAACCTAAGAGATCAGTTATACCAGTGTCTTTTTCTGTGGTTAAGATGAGGAAATAAATTTATATCACTTAAATTATTTGCTCAGGGACACCTAGGTGGCTCAGTTGATTAAGCATCCAACTCCTGATTTTAGCTCAGGGCGTGATCTCATGATTCGTGGAACTGAGCCCCGAGTTGGGCTCTACACTGACAGTGTGGCATATGCATGGAATTTTCTCTCTCCCCCTGTGTCCTTCCCCCACTCATATGGTCTCTCTCTCTCAAAATAACCATCTAAAAATAAATAAACGATTTTCCCAAATTAGTGGAAAAGCCAGGACTAAAACTTAAGAATCCGTGACTTACCTGATTTTGTAGGTTTCTTTTAGCTGCTTGGGGCAATCAATAGCAGATTTCCTAGAATGTTACTAAGTGTTTAGAATGTTCTAGATTGGACTGATAAAATATTTACCATCTATCAAAAAATTAAGATATTATTTTTTTCAATTCACTTACACTGGAAGTATAGGGAGCTTTAGATGATTAGACTAACCAAGACTGCAGTTGCTAGCTTTTTCATTGCTGGTCTCCGCAGATTTCTTCTCTAGGTGCTACTTCAATGTGTCGGTTTCCCCTTAATTTTGTGTGCAGTCAATTTATCAGTTTACATCCTCCTACAAGTGAAATTCTCCTGGTTCCAAATGACTCCCATAACCATATTCTTTATCCTGATAACATTTTCCCCAAACTGAAAGTCTCTACTTCAGTCTGTTGGTATATTCACTTCATGTCCTCTGTCAAATATAACTTAAGCCAAAATGGGATGCTTTCTTAACGTATCATCCCCTCTCTAAACAAAGAGAGTCTATCACATTAGAAACATTGGATTGGTTCTTTACCACTCCTTTCTTATTTCTTTCATGGAAGTAGCCATTAAGCTCTATCAATTATGCCTCAGAAATGTGTCAAATCTGTACGCTTCAATTTCTCAGGTTATACCTCCCAAACAACTCCCTTCCATACCTAAGATGTTCTGATGGTTCTCCGTTATTCACAAGATTAACTTAACAAGGAATCTCTAGCCTCAGCAATAACTACATCCCCTCAAGCGCCCTACTTCCTTAAATGTATCTTCTGGTTCTTTCACAGGTTCATACTTTCACACATGCCTTTCCTTCTCCCTTGAATGTTCTCTATACCAGGGTTTTCCAAACTTTGAAAATAAGGATCAGGTGGGTACTTGTTAGTTAACACAGTTGCCCATACCCCTCCCTGGATCTAATTTAGAAGGTCTGGAATGGGTCCTGGGAAGCTAGATCTTTAAGTGCCCTCACGTTCATTCTTATTGGATCAGTTTAAAACACAGGTTTCTCTTCTACTCCACCTTCAGAATATTCTTGTTATCCTTTCAACTGGGAAAGCAGAGTGCAGGGGCAAAATTAAGTCCTTCAGGATATCAGGCACATGCTGATCACTACATGGTCTTTTTTAAAAATTTTTTTTTTAATGTTTTATTTATTTCTAGGAGAGAGAGAGACAGTGTGAGCAGGGGAGGGTCAGAGAGAGAGGGAGTCACAGACTGAAACAGGCTCCAGGCTCTGAGCTGGCAGTCAGCACAGAGCCAGACGCGGGGCACGAACCCACGAACCGCGAGATCATGACCTAAGCGAAAGTCGGACGCTTAACCGACTAAGCCACCCAGGCGCCCCTGCTGATCACTACATGGTCTTACTAGCACTAACCAGGCAGTATTATAATTAACCTGACCAAAAAAACTGTCAGTGGCTATGACCATTAGCTACAACATAAAATCTGCACCCAAGTCAATTTAACAAACCCATTCTAGATTTGATACAAAATTGAGTGGGACATGGTCTCTGGCCTCAAGGAGCTTACAAAGTCTAGGAAGGAGTATCTCTGCTTGGCATTTAAGATCTTTCCAGTATTTGTCCAACCTACCTTTCTGGTTACCACTCAAAGGCCTTTCCACAGGCTGTGCTCACCATAGCCTCAGATCCTTTCCAGGTGTTGTTCCTGCTACTTGGAATGCTCCTTCCCTCTCCATCTGGTTTCTGGTTTTCTTTATCAGTCACCTCAAGTATCTTTTCCGAGGAAATTCTTCTTTGTTCTCCTGACTAGGACACATCCTGCTGTTATGACATTCACTTTGTCTTCTTCAAAGCATTTGTCCCAGACTTGGTTTTGTGTTTGTGTGATTATTTGACTAATGGTGGTCTCCCCCTCCAAGCCTCCATGAGGACAGGGGCCCGATTTTGTGCTTATATAGATGCTCACTGTAGAACTCTGTTAACCTGTCTCCGTGTCTATACACTTGGAGGTTTGTCTGGAGATTTGTTCTATCTCTGAAGAAGTTTATCTTACATAGTCTGCATCTAGCCTTTGAACACTGGAAGTTCAAACTTTAACAGTTATAACAGCTAAAATTCTCTGATTATTTTATTACGTACCAGGCAGTTAAATGAATCACTTAATCTTCATGAAAACACTTTAAGACATGGTGGCTGGGTGGCTCAATCAGTTAAGCTTAAGCGTTTGACTCTGGATTTCAGCTCAGGTCATGATCTCATACGGTTAGTAACCCCATGGTGAGTTCCCAGCTGATAGGACAGAGCCTCATGGGCTTCTCTCTCTGCACTTCCTCCATGCATGCACACGCACTTTCTCTTTCAAAATAAACATTTTAAAAAAGCCACTTTAACATCGATATTATTGTTCCCTTTTCATAGAATGGCCTATAAAAATTACTCAACTCCTGCCTCCTTGTCCCCAGTATCAGAAACTGCTCTCCCTCTTCATCTCCTCACTAACTAGTTGTACTTCCCAGCTATCTTCCTGGTGAATGTCATGAACTAATCTCTTCACATGGAATTCTTTCTCCTTTCCCCAAATTTACCTAGCTATCTCCTCCTCACCTTTTAACTCTCAAAAAAGGCTTTTAGGACCTGCTCCCTGGTTTCCTGCTGTTAATGTGACAAGTTACCACTAAGTAGCTTTAAACACCATAAATTTTCTTACTGTACTGGAGGTCAGAAGTCATAAAACCAATGTGTTGGCATGGCTGCGTTCCTTCTGAAGGTTCAAAGGGAGAATCCAACTCCTTGTCTTTTCAGCTTCTGAAAACTACCTGTGTTCCTTGGCCCAGGACAACAACCCCTTCCTCCGTCTTCAAGGACAGCAACATGACATCCTCAAATCTCTCTTTACCTATCCTTCTCCGTGCTTTCCCCCTTCCACCAAGCTCCTTCCCTTGCTCTGACCCATCTGTCTTCCTTTTTAAGGGGGCTTCTGGGTACAGTGAGCCCACCTGGATATTTCAGGCTACTCTCCCCATCTCAAGAGCCTTAACTCAATCACACCTGCAAAATCCCTTTTGCCATATAAGGAAACAGTTCTAGGTTTCAGGGATTAGAATGTTGGACAACTTGGGGGGATCATTATATTAACTATTCCAATATATGTTCCCATATTTCCCAGAACTGACACATGGTAAGGCCTCAAAAAATATCTAACTACTGAATCAGGGAATGAACAAATCAACATTGACAGACAGCCCCTCCAAAAGCATTCTTGATTGTAATCAGCATTAATAGGGGCACCTGGGTGGCTCAGTTGGTTAAGCCTCTGACTTCGGCTCCGGTCGGGAGGTTCATTGAGTTCAAGGCCGGCGTTGGGCTCTGTGCTGACAGCTCAGAGCCAGGACCCTGCTTCCAATTCTGTCTCCCTCTTTGTTCCTCACCTGCTCATACTCTGTCTCCCTGTCTCT